TTTATGGGGAATGAAAGTTAACACACACATGAAAATCTCATCTGTAGCCCAATCTGTTAAGAGTTTGGAGGGTGGTAAATTCTTTACACAGAGTGAATAGTTCATGTTTGTTACTCTTTATTTTCCTTGAAGTGGACAACTTTTCAAAAAGTTCTGAAAGCTGCAAACATTTATTTACCCTTTTTTTAAAAAACTAAGTCCAGAATCCTAACCTCAGGTTATTTATATCACAGTAATATCTTCTGTGTATTATTCTACAAGTATTATGAAATAGCCAAGCTCTTGCTACTGCCACACAAAGGAATGTTTTCTGAGTTGCAGTTTTGAATTTTTCAATAAAATGGGGGAAAGAATATGCCTCATTTTTCTAATCTCAGAAAAATTCTTTAAAACTCTAATTTTGCTCCTAAAATGAACACCCAGCTACTTTCACTTTCTGGGAGGTATGAAAGGAGTGTTCTGCCTTTCTGCTTTATGGCTGGCAGTGTGCATGACACTGGGCTAAGAACTTGGGGAGGATTATAAAGAAGTGTGACACAGTATTGACCCAGGAGCAATTTACAGTCTTAAGGAATGAAACATACCTACCTACATAAAATAACTATGATTACAAAGCAAATACAAGCAAAGGCATAATATAGTATCAACTGTTTACAAGATCGTAGTATCAACTGTTACAAGGAGCTCAATACATAGTGAATGAACGAATTATTAAAGGGATCATCGCAAGAAAAATGGGCTAGTAATGAGCAGGGGTTTTGGAGGTAATGAGTCTTGAACTAAGTTTTGAAGGAGGTGAAGTGATATTCATCGGTCAGAAATAGGTAGGAAGGCACTGCAGGTTGAAGGCAGGGCATATGCAGTGTCAAAGAGATGGAAGCAAGCAAAAGGGGGTGGGTATAGAGTGAGAAGACTGGCTTCATGCATTTATTCAGCAATAGCTAGGCACTATAGACACAGTGGGACAAAAAGCAGCTAAGGTCCTCACCCCCATGGAGCTGACATTCTAGTGACAGTGGTATCAATAAACAAGTAAACTAATCAATAAGTTAGGTAGTTATAGATTGTAATGCTATGAGAGGCATAAACAGGGTGATTTACTAGAGAATTATGTGTGGGAGAGGGAAATATTTTAAATCAGGGAACCAGGGAAGACCACTCTGAGAGATGACATTTGCGATGAGACCTGAGGGATGAGAGTGAGCCAACCATGCAAAGAACTAGGGAGAAGAACATTCCTGGCAAAGGGAAGAACAGGTGTACAAGTCCAGTTGTAGGAAAAGGTTTACTGGAGAGAAAAGAGGCCAGAGTGTGGTGAGCAAGTGAGAGAGTGGTATGAAATGAGGTTGGATAGAGAGCCAGTCTTATGTGGCCACATGGGCCAGAGCAAGAAGTTAGATTTTATTCTAAATGCAGTGGGAAATCATTGAAGGCTTTAAGCAGAAAAGCGATATGATCTGATTTTCATTGTTAAAAGATTACTCTGGTTGCTGTGTGGGAAATGGATTGGAGGTAAGCAAGGCTGTGAGTGGGAAGACCAGTTAAGAGGTGATTACAAAAGTCCAAGCAAGAAATGGTGGCTTGAACTAGAATGGTGTCAAAAAAGATGGAGGGGAGTGAATGAGATCAAGACATATTTTGGAGGGGGGCTCAGCAGGATTTGAGAATGTAGGGAGTAAAAGGAAGTAATCAAGGATGGCACCTAGGTTTTTGGCTGTTGACTTGAGTAACAAGGTAGATGATGTTGCCATTTACTGATGTGTGGAAGACTAGGGAGGGTGAGAGTTTTGGTGGGGAAGGGATTAAAAGTTCCATTTTAGGATGTCAAATTTGAAATGCCCATGAGACATCCAAGTAGAGAAGTCAAGTAGACAGTTGGTGGAAGCATAGGCTGTCCCTGTAATTGTCCAAACCAGTTGTGGTAAGTAGAATAACAGCCCCCCAGAGGTGTCCACACCCTAATCCCCAGAACCTGTGAATATGTTATCTTACATGACAAAAGAAATTTTGCAGACGTGATTACAGACATTCAGATGGAGAGATTATCCTGTATTATCCAGGTAGACCCAATCTAATGCCAGGAGTCCTCAAAAGTGGAAGAGGAAGAAGAAAGTAGAAGAGAGGGTCAGAGAGATGCAGGGATGAAAGAAGAGGCAGGAGAAATGAGGCATGAGAAGGACTCATCTCACTGTTGCTGGCTTTGAAAACAAAGGTGCCCAGGAGCCAAGGAGTGCATGGCCTCTAGAAGCTGAGAATGACCCTCAGCTGACAGCCAGCAACGAAATGGGGACCTCCGTCCTACAACCACAAGGAACTGAATTCAACCAATAACTTGAATGAGCAGGGAAGCAGATTTTCCCCTAGAGCCTCCAGAAAGGAACATAGCCCTGCTGACACCTTGATTTCAGCCCAGTGGGACCACATCAGACTTGGGACATACAGAACTGTAAGATAATAAATTTGTGTTGTTTAAGCCACTGAGTTTGTGGTAACTTTTAGAGCAGCAATAGGAAAGTAATACGCCAGAACGCTATTGATAATTATTTCAAGATAAAAGGGACAAGTCTGGAGTTCAGGGAAGAGTGATGGCTGGAGGTAGAAATTTGGGTGTCATCAGCAGATAAACAGTGACTAAAGCCAAGGGGATGAATGAGACCACCAAAGGAGTGGATGAGAAGAAACTCCTGGGGGAGGAGGAAGCAACAAGAAATAACATTGAGGAGATGATGGCTAAAGATAGGCCTCAAGATATGGAGAAACTGGAACTCCCACCCTGCTGTTTAGAATGTAAAATGGTACAATCACTCTGGAAAAAAACTTGGCAGTTCCTCAAATGGCTCAACATAGAGTTACCACACAACCCAGCAATTGCACTTCTAGGTATATATGCTTGAAATGAAAACATATGTCCACACAAAAACTTGTATAGGCATATTTATAGCAGCATCATTCATAACAGGCAAAAAGTATAAATGACCCAAATGTCCATCAGCTGATGAACAGATAAACAAAATGCGGCCTATCCATATAATGGAATACTACCTAGCAATGGAAACTAATTAACTACTGATACACAAAACAACATGGATAAATCTCAAAAAATAATATGTGGAGAGGTTGGCAAACGGATCCAAAATCACAATTGGATAGGAGGACTAAGTTCTGGTGTTCGATGGCACAGTAGGGTGACTATGGTTAACAGTTAAGTTCTGTATAATTACACAATAGCTAGAGAAGAGGCTCTTGAATGTTCTCACCACAAGAAATGATAAATTCATGAGGTTATGGTTACATTAACCACCCTGACCCGATCATTACATAACATTTATATATCAAAACATCAACTTGTACCCCATAAATATGTACAATTAAAATAAATTAATTTTAAAAAATATGCCAAGTGAGAAAAGCTAGACCAAAAATAAAAAATATATATACTATATGATTCCATTTATATGAAATTCTAGGAAATGTAAACTAATCTATGGTGACAGCAAGTATATCAGTGTTTGCTTGGGGGCTGGTGGGATTACAAAGGGGCATGAGAAAATTTTGGGTGGTGATGGATACGATCAGTATCTTAATTATGGTGATGTTTCACAAGTTTATACATACATAGAAACTTACCAAATTGTACACTTTAAATATGTACAGTTTTATTGTATGACAATTATACCCCAATAAGACTGTTTTGTCTTAAGCAGTTACCCCAGGGCTGAAATCCATCAACTGCTTTCTAGGCCTGCCAGAAATAAAATACTTCCACGCATTGGAGAGAAAGAAAAAGAAAAAGGGACTTCAAATGCTAAGCTGAGAAGTTTAGGTTTGATCCAATCAGCAAAGTGGAGTCACTAGTTTCTTAAGCAACTAGGTGATGTGATGAAAACTGGACATGAGCAAGATTGTTCCAGAAGCTGAAGCAGTAAGAGACTGGATACAGGAAGACTGGCCCACAAACGATGAGCATTGTTTCCTCCTCAGTAATTACACTGCAAACACAACTGTGGCATTCCAGTCTTCCATATTGGAAAGGTAAGCCAGGTCTGAAAACTGAGAATGCTCTTTCTGGGTGTCTCTTAAAGACTCAAATCCTGCTTATGTGGTCTCTGATATGGTTACCAAATTATAAGTAGGGTCCTTACCTGGGATGGAGAACTGGATTACCACCATACTTAAGCAGGGTTGGAGTGAACTGTTCACTAAAATCCAGAGTTGGTCAACCTAAGTTAGTATTTTTCTTAAAATTAGTAAAATATAATATGTATTAAATGCTTACTATGTACCAGACTCTGTTTTATGCATACATTATCTCATTTACTTGTCCCTACAGTCCTTTGAGGTATAGGTGCTACTATCATTTCCATTTTACATCTGAAGAAACTGAAGTTTGGAGAGATCGAGCAACTTACCCAAGGCCTGACAGCTAGCAAGTAGCAGAGCCACTATCTGAATTCAAGCAGTCTGGCTCCAGAGCCCACCCTCTTAACCACTGGGCTAAATTACCTCTCTCTTCCTATTTTGCCCCAGATTCCCAAACCCAGTTGCTCAAATCCACTCATTCATTTAGATACAAAAGTATAGAGTCATAGAATCTTAGAATTGGAAGGAGTGTAGAACTCTCTCCCCAAACAACACAGCAATCTCCTCTACAGTGTCCCTAACACAGGTGGCTATTCTGCCTCAACTTTTAGCATTTTCAGTAACAAAAAGTTCACCACCTCATAGAGCAACCAATGCCACCTCTAAGTAGCTCATACTTTAGGACATAATTTCTTGTTGAGCTGAAGTCTACTTTCATGAAACTTCTACCAGCTGGTGTTAATTCCATATAGAACGTCTAACTTTTTCCTGACAGTACTTCCATTATGAAGAGTTATGATGTCCCTCCTTCACCCAAAGATCTTTCCTAGTTAAATGTCTCTCATTCACTCAGCCATTTCTCATATGACATAATTTACAGACACTTCAGTTTCCTGATGCCGTCTTTAAATATGTTCCAGGTTGTTAAATGTGGCATCCAGAATTGAACGTAAAACTCTATGACCTGGTCAGCAGAGACCCATGTGGGACTAAAAGTCCTCCTGATCTGTTCACTACCATTCTTAGTCAACTCAAGACTCATTAGCATTTTTTGGCATTGCCAATTCAGTCAACTAAGACCCCCAGTTCTCCTTTTCACACATGCTACTGTTAAGCTCTATCTCCTCATCCTTAAATGTCTTGCAGTAAATAGATCATTAGAACCATTTATTGTGGTTCTTCCCATTTTATAAGCCTGGGTTTATTCTGGAATTTAGCCCTTATGACTCAGTTCCTAGAGGTTTGTGATACTCTTTGGTCTTTGTCCTTGGAAGCCTAGCCCTCCTTCTATCATCTATGCATGTACTTTTAATCTATAAGGACACTGTAATTTATTAGATATCCCTCCCTTTTTTAATTTCTCATTGGAATTTTTACAAATTGTACAGTTCTAAATTTTCTTTTTGGATCCCTCTGCCTCTTGAGCTATCTTTCTTTTTTTGGTATTTGGCCAGGAGATCGTACTTATCTTTTCTCTGATTTTTTTTTTTTTTTTGTCTTTTTTTGTGATCGATAAGGGTATCACAACCCTTGGCTTGGTGTTGCCCGCACCGGCCATCCCCATATAGGATCCGAACCCGTGGCGGGAGCGCCACTGCGCTCCCAGCGCCACACTCTCCCGAGTGTGCCACGGGGTCGGCCCTTCTCTGATGCTTTTAAAGTCTACATTACACACACACACACACACACACACACACACACACACACACACACACAGGTTAGTTCAGCTGTGTGGCCATGCCCAGCATTCTTTTGCTTAACAGATCCAGATAGCATGGTCACATGGTCACTTTCACCAAGACTCCAGATCTTCCTTATTTACGTCAGGACTTTTTTTTTTTTTCCCCTGGCTGGCTGGTTCAAGGAACCAAACCCTTGACCTTGATGTTACAAGGCTGCGTTCTAACCATCTGAGCCAACTGGCCAGCCTATTGTCAGGATTAAGCCCAGTTTAGCAATTTATATCATTGCTTCTTCGTTCTTATGAGAATTATACTTGTCAGCAAGAGAGTCAAGAATTTATCAGATATGTTACTATCAGAATAATGAAACTTCCAGCAGACATTCAGATGGTCAATGTCTCTCATCACCATTTCTCGCCTATGTAATAGATTTATGAAGTACTATTCATATCTTTTATCTAATTAGTCTCTTGTATACTTCCACAACTACAATCACTTTCATTTCTCCCTTTCATTCTCACTGAATGCTTTCTGCCCTCCAGCCAATGAATTACTACTTATACCTTCTTGATATGTTACTGCTCTCCTCTCCTCCTATGTGGTATCACTCTGAACCACGTTTACCTTTCCTTTTCCAGGGGCCAGTCAGAAGTTCCATCCTACCAAGTCTGAACGATACCTATAAAATGGCTTTTTCCTGCTTGTATTAAAATTTTATATTCCCTTTATTACCCATATTCTGGGTGTTGCTACATAGATATCTGCAGCCTTAAATACCATTTCTGACCCTCTTCCTTATTTTTTCTTGAGAATTACTAGGCACTGCCGTAGCTTTAATTCCTCTTTCTTTATTATACTTGTATTCTACATAGCTCCCAGAAACACAATAATTACTAACACAGAGACCCCCACTATGTCTCACTGGAGGAATACGTTTTTATGAATTGGCCAGCCATCTATCATTATCATCATTAATATTATTCTTTATTTTCCTGGGTTCTTGCTGCTGGTTTCTTTTTTCTTTTCTTTGAAATTTGTTTTTAACTTTCAGACTTATAAAAATGCTGCAAAAATAGTACAATGAATTTACATATATCCTTATTCAGCTTTTCCAAATGTTAGCATCTTACATACCCACCATAACTAAGAGTAGTATTGGTACTATTAACTAATCTACAGATACATAAATTTCACTAATAGCAGCCATGTCCTTTTTCTGGTCCAGGAGCCGATCCAGGATCACGTTGCATTAAATTGTCAAGTCTCCTTAGTCTCCTCTAATGTGTGACAGTTCCTCAGTCTTTCTTTGTCTTTCATGAGCTTGACAGTTTTGAGAATGTTTGACTCCTTGAAGTATACGAGATCTTCAAAAAAGTTCATGGAAACATTAGTATTATCTTTTTTTTTTTTTTTTGAAGACATTGGTTTATTAAATTTATGGAAGGTGCTGGTGTCTTTTAATTCTATTTTTGCATAAACTTATTGAAGTGCCCTCGTACACAGTAACAGGCAAGTAGAGGAGCTCCAGCTCCTGGTGTATTTAGCAAAATACCAAGTCGTACAATGAAGCTGCTTTTAAATGACCCATCTTGTATTTCATCTTCATTAAAACTACACTTAGTCACCCAAAGACTGAGAAGCGACAAATTCTATGTAATTATTTGATCATCTTTTTGGGGGAGAGAGAAAGAAATCTGACAAAACAGTAAAAGTGGAAGTACTTGAAATAGAAAAGAGCTCTGCAATAGAATACAGTGTTGAATAGGACACAGTAGGCTCAGAGGGAGTAGCAGATGTGGCCAGTGAAAGGTCACATGTAGAAAAGGTATACATGAGTGACAGTGAGGTGTATCAAGGAGTAATTAACATTTGAATAAAATGCATTAATCAGAATGTCAAGAGTTCAAACTAGAAAGGTTTTGAACTCTATTTTGAAATGCATTATAAAAACCACCTCCTTCCAAATAAAACCTGTAGAATTTTGCTTTAGTTGTTGCTTCTCACTGGAAGTAGAGAAGTGACTATTACTTTCAGAGGATATACTTCACCATTCTCTGAAACTATAGCAAGGTCATTTCTGTATCCAGTTGCATCACTGTTAAAGTCAGCTAATGAGAAACATTGCAGTCTCTCACTAACACGGTCAGTGATTTCCTCAGGGTCAACAAAGCTGGATTCAAAAATGCTCCTTTAGGAGCCAGCCTGTGGCTCACTTGGGAGAGTGTGGTGCTGATGACACCAAGGCCACGGGTTCGGATCCCTATATAGGGATGGCCGGTTAGCTCACTTGGGAGAGCGTGGTGCTGACACCACCAAGTCAAGGGTTAAGATCCCCTTACTGGTCATCTTAAAAAAAAAAAATTGCTCCTTTGAGCACGTACAGTTTGTGCACATACTTTGGATTGCTGGGGTTCTTGGGAAGACTAACAAATTGCAAAGTATACTTGTAGAGAAAGGGCCTGACAATCCTGGAGGAACCCTAGAGTTAGGTCTTTTAACAGGCAGCTCTGCAGAAGGTGGGAGAGGGCAGGAAAGGGAAGTGAAGGGTAAGGCCACTATGCCTTCAGTGCGCAAACGCCTGCTGGCATTTTGCCTTTAGGAATTCTGAAGTTTGGGCACCTAAGGATCAGCTGCAGTTGCAGTTTTCAACCATTATCTTTATTTTTATAAACTGTTGCGATTATTTAGACATGGGACTTGCAATTACACTATCTGTTCCTGTTCTAAATGTGAGGGAGTGCACTCAAACTAACAAGTAGGTTTTTGAAGACAAGTGTGGCAAATGCTTACCCAGTGCAAGGATTAAGGGGCTCAATAAGCACTTGTCCATTGACACAATGGCTGTCAATCTAATTCTATTGATTCCTCTAAACATTTCTGGAGTTCAGAAATCTACTCGATCCAAGAGCACTTTTCCTGGGGTCCAGGGAGCCAAGCGTCAACCTAATTCTTAACCTTCTTAAGCCTCTTAATTTTCTGGGTACAACCTCTATTGGCTTCTGGCTAAAATCATTTCCCCACCCCCAGCCCAGTACTTTGGACTCTCCTAGGCCAATTCCCAGCAAGATCTTCGTTAAACTGTATTTACAAACAGGGGTCTGGGGCAAGCTGATAGTGTCCCGGCTCTGCTGTTCCCGCATTTCCTCTGGCTTCACTAGCAAAGCTCCAGGGCTGTACCAGGTCTAGGGCGAGGAGAGTGAGGCACTACTTTTAAAAATCAAAAGTAATGCAAAATCCATGATAAACAAATGATCAAAAATTAAAATCAACACAGCATCCCATCCTGCACTTGCATCCCCTTGCCTCACTTGCCTCACCTTAATCCCGGCCCTGGGACTCCATTTAAATTTTACTTACAAAAAAGCAAGTAACTGGCCAGCAGGCTGTAGTTTGCGTATACGAATTTTTTAAAATATTGCATTCAATATTATTTATCTGATTACCGAGTTTTTGTTTTTGCCTCCCCCTAGTCCCGGCCCTGCTAGGCGTAGGCCGCGGTCACCAAGGTGACCGCGCCCTACGTGGGACTCACCCTAATGCCTCTGAAGCTGGGTCTGAGGTGGTGACCTTTCTCTCAGGTGTAAAGGTCATGGGTTCCCTCGAGGATGCCCCCCCACCCAAAGGGGTGGAGGCTTAATGTATCTGGTGGCGCAGATCACCTCTTCCCCCGTGACAGCGTCGGATGGTTAGGAGGGTCCAGCCTGTGTGATAACAGAAGATTAGATTTGGGGAAAGGGGAGCCAACGTTAAAGGGCGTTGATTGAGAGGATATATGTGCTTCCCTTTTTCCTTCTCCATGGTTATAACTGTCCCTGTTGACTTTCTTCCCGGTCTGTCAGGTGCAGCATGCCAGCAAGCAAATCACCGCAGATAAGCAATACAAGGGCATTATAGACTGCGTGGTTCGTATCCCCAAGGAGCAGGGAGTCCTGTCCTTCTGGCGTGGTAACCTGGCCAATGTCATCAGATATTTCCCTACCCAGGCTCTCAACTTTGCCTTCAAAGATAAATACAAGCAGATCTTCCTGGGTGGTGTGGACAAGAGGACCCAGTTTTGGCGCTACTTTGCAGGGAATCTGGCATCAGGTGGTGCCGCTGGGGCCACATCCTTGTGTTTTGTGTACCCTCTTGATTTTGCCCGTACCCGTCTAGCAGCTGATGTGGGTAAAGCTGGAGCTGAAAGGGAATTCAGAGGCCTCGGTGACTGCCTGGTTAAGATCTACAAATCTGATGGGATTAAGGGCCTGTACCAAGGCTTTAATGTG